TTTTACTATGCCAAAAACTTCACAATTATACAAATATTATTCGACACAACGTGAAAGAGAAAAACAATTATTACCCATCGTTAATATTTAGTTTCAGTGAGTTATTCCTCGTTATTTTTGTTATACGTAGTTTTCTGTTTTTTTATTATTATTATTATTCTTCTCTATCTCGGATATATATATATATAAATAAATAAAAAATTGATAGTACGGTAGGTAGAATTTTGTATTATTCTATTTAGTTTAACGTTAATAAAATATTATCAAATGTTGTCTTCCAAACTAAAATATTAAGATGGTATTAGAGCTTTGATTTGTTTTTTATTGTTTTTATCATTTATTCTACATTTTTTCCTCTTCTTTCTTATGAAATACCAAGAATGACCAATCATAGTTTTGTTGATTTCACAACCACTTTCAAATCCATACTATCTTCATGCTAACGAAAATCATGATCTCGTTCTTGTTTCTCCAACTCTTAATAGCAAGAATTACCTTTCTTAGGCTTGTGCTATGAAGCTAACACTCAAATCGAAGAACAAAATCAAATTCACTTATGGTAGCTTCATTGAACCTTTGCAATTTGACCGCTATATGAAGCCTCGATAGTTGCAACACTATGTCCTTTCTTGGATCTAACACTATGTAAATGCATCGATATTGAAATCTATTTTATGGATAGAGAAAGCCTATGACGTCCGGAAGGATTTGTACAATTGTTTTAACCAAAGTGATATATTTCGTGTTGTTGATCTCTAAGAAGAGTTATACAAATTAAATCAAGGTAGTCTTTGTGTATCTAAATTTTAGCCTAATCGAGAGAACTATTTAGGAGGATATCAATAATTTTCGTCCTATTTTAAATTGTAAGTGTTTCATCTCTTGTCCATGTGGCGCAATTGAAGCGATTAAGACATATAAGAAGCAAGACTCGTGTAATCCATTTTCTTAAAGGTATGAATGAGTAATAGTCCTCGGTTACATCATAAATCATGTTGCTTGATCCTCGCTTCGATGTTAAAAAGTATTTAACATGATTATTCGAGAAGAGCGTCATATTAATATGTCTTCTTTGTTTATTGGCTCTGCTTTCCGATGTAAAAAGTCTAGTTGTATCATCAAATCATAATTTTTATTCATAAGAAAATACAAATGGAATATTCTTTAGTAGAGGATGATCTAACAATAACAATAGATGTCGTGGAAGAAGCTATGGTGGAAGACACTAGTAAGTCAATAAATTTTGTATCTATTATGAGAGGACCAACTATATTGTTGACACATGATATTTCAAGCATAGCTTCCCACCAAGGAATCAATCTAAATATGCCGAATGACAAATTCTACAACTTCACTTTCTTTAGATTCAGGAGTATCTAATGACTCAAATCTTCAAGAGGTCACAAAAGAGCAATATCAAGGCATTTTTCATCTTTTATAGTAGTTTAAAAAAATATGTGCACTCAGTAAATATTGTTAATGTTCCTTCTTTTTCACATGGTTCCACTTCAGTGTAACCGATATGACATTTGGTTGATTGATAATGGAACAACAAATCACATCACCTTTAATCTCGTAAGCTTGTTAAACCAATCCTTATTTTCCTACCAAATGGAGTCAAAATTCCCACAAACATAACTACACAGTAATTCTTTATGAAACTTTAGTCTTACATGAAATTTTATATGTCCTAGCCTTTCAAGTAAATCTCATCTTTGTCTCAAAATTAATTTAGAAATATTAGAGTTTAGTTCTTTTATCTTCGTGAAAGTGATTCTCCTAAGTTCTTGAGTGATTTAAGAACCCTTGGCTATATCAAAGGACTTTCACATCCTTTGTGAGTTGACTTCCTTAGGAAGAGTGATTATTTCTTTCAACCTTTCACATTCACCTCTTGTAATTTCTTCATCAAAACTCGGAAAACTCAATTATACTTAGATTTATTTTGTAGTCATAAATTTCATTCTACTTGTCCAAATTGAGTGCTTTTGAGTCTAAATTGAAATTTATAACGATAACTTTCACCTCATTTTTGAATCACTTCAATCGTAGTTTTATAGCTCGAAATATCGACATTTTTAAAATTACGTCACAACCTCAAAACTTTCACCACTTTCTAATCCAACTTCTTACTAATTCCCTAAATTTCCTTCAAGTTTCTAAGGCTAAAGGTCATGTGTAATTGATGTTTATATCATTTGCAGGTTCAAAGTGAGTTTCCACTAAAATTAACTTCAGCAAGAATGAGAGGCAACAACAATGACATCAACGTAAACATTAGGGTAATTCTGGCACGAATTTACATGCTCCCAAAATGTTTGTACCAAAATCATATGAACTATAAGCACTACGAGTGAATCACGTATCAAGCTTGATTTTCAACTGCTCTTTCCGGATATCTTTGAAATATTAATTTATATATATATGATAATTATGTTAAAATATACTTGATCGATTTTTGAATAAGTATTGAAAAACCACTTTAAAGTTTAAGTATATATGAAAGAAGAGAAAATTAAAATAACATAAAAAATTATAAAAATAAATATATCTTGATAATAATAAATCAATCATATTTACATTTTTTTTGTTATTATCATATTTTAAGTAATAATGTATATTTATTTTAATATTTTTTTAATATATAATAGTTATATTTATTTTATATTGTTATTATAATATATATTTAAAAGATTTAAATAAAAAAATATTTTCATTGAACTTGGAACTTCAATTTTAGTTGTCCTTGCACTCATCTCATTTTAAGATTTAATGCCCACATTTTTTACTAATTTTAAATATTATATTTACTTTAACACATATTAATGGGAGATTTTACTAATGAAGCATAACTTAATAATGTCTTAACGTAGGTTTTCTCCCTAAAATTTATGTTTGAAATTTAAGTAAGTGCATCAAATTCAATCATGTTCACTTTGTTATTATTTACTTTCATTTTCTTTAAGTTTTCTTTCTTCTTTGAGTCTCCTTTCGTTTACGTTTTCTTTGTATTTTTCATTTTAATCTTTTGAATATCATGTCTTCTTGTTTTTGTTTTTGTGACGATTTTGGTGGTTCTCCCTACTTTGAACCATTATTAGATGAATGTAAAGTTCACGAAGCTCAGTTATAATACAAGTCTAATTTGCTTCAAGGACTTGAATTTTGTCATTCATTACTTTGACCCAATGTGTACTTTTATAGGTTTCACTGTAGGAGGTCGACTCAGTATTGATGATAATATTCATGATCAACCTTTTGAAAGAGGAAGATAGTCTTTCATAGAAGATGTAATTTGTGATGAAATATAAGATATCGGTGTTGAAATTGGCATTGACAATGTGATAATGTTTAAGATAAGTCGGTAACTACCTGTTTATACTCGTCCTTCTAAGAATAGGGGTCGAATATCATTAAAAGTATTTAAACAATTAAAATTTTGTGCAGTGTTGGTAATAGTATCATGGTTAAATCTATCATCATAAAAATCAAAACTAGTGGGCGTAGAGAGTTGAAGGGCATGTTCATTATCAACATTCTTGTTGAAAGGAAAATGATCTTCGTAAAAGATTACGTTGTGGGAAACATCAATGTGGTTAGTCTTAAGATTGTAGAGAAGCTAACCTTTTGTGTTAGGATGTATCCTAATAGAGATTGTTGGATCAATATTATTATCCAGCTTCTTCCTATGTGCAATCAAAGTGCTAATATAAGAGAGACAACAAAAAACATGAAGATTGCTTAAGTCAGGATGTTTATCGTGGAGTCTTTCACATGGAGATCTTTTTTAAGATAAAGAGTAGGAATGAAGTTAATCAAATAAATATCATGCTTCGGAGCAAAACACCAAAATAAATAACATGGCACGAGTTACGTTTAATATGTGTTAATGTTTCCTCTCTATAATACTATTTTGTTGGGGTATTTCGGTGTAACTAGTTTGATGAACTATGTCCTTATAATCAATATAGTTTGTCATGAGAAATTCTAGGCATTATCAGATCTAATAATCTTAACATGTTTCTCAAGTTGTTTTTCTACATAGATGATAAAGTTAATTAAGTGATTTCTACTTTAGTCTTTATTATGCATAAGATAAACTCAAGTATATCAAATGCAATCATCAATAATAAGGAAATATTTGTAACCATGCAAGCATACATCATGACAAGGTTCTTAAACATCAACATGCAGAAGTATAAAAAGCGTCGAGGTATGTGAATCATTCATGTTAAAGGGTAAACACTTTTTATTAGCTAAGTGACAAGTGAATATTATTGTTGTATGATTAGTGAACATTCATCTGGATAAATGTCCTAGTCGAGCAAGAAAGAGGCTATTATTATCAATAATAGAGGAGTGATTGGATAATGAAAGTAATAAAGATGTAGCCACAATATTAATTATACCAATCTTTCCTTTGGTTTTCTTGTCCTAGATAATACAAGAATTATCAAGAAAATAACATCATATTTTAATATAGAGGTCAATTTAGAAACAAAGATCAGGTTATAAATAAACAAAGGGATATAAAGAACATCTTGAAGGAGGAAATCCTTACCAAACTTCACAATACTAGTGTGAGTGGAAAACATTTTCACCATCAAGGAGATTAATAATAATAGGCTTGATGACTTTATAAGAATGAAAAATAGAATCAGAGGAGGAAACATGATCAAATAACACTTGAATTCATTATCCAAGAAGTCAAATTTTGTGAATTTGAGGAACTTGTGGTAATAATCATGTTACTTTTTAAATTTGGTGAGTTTATTGAGCAAGAGATGACTTGTTTGTATGATTAGTGAACATTCATCGGATAAATGTCCTAGTCAGGCAAGAAAGAGACTATTATTATCAATAATAGAGGAGTGATTGGATAATGAAAGTAATAAAGATGTACAGACTGGCCACAATATTAATTATACCAATCTTTCCTTTGGTTTTCTTGTCCTAGATAATACAAGAATTATCAAGAAAATAACATCATATTTTAATATAGAGGTCAATTTAGAAACAAAGATCAGGTTATAAATAAACAAAGGGATATAAAGAACATCTTGAAGGAGGAAATCCTTACCAAACTTCACAATACTAGTGTGAGTGGAAAACATTTTCACCATCAAGGAGATTAATAATAATAGGCTTGATGACTTTATAAGAATGAAAAATAGAATCAGAGGAGGAAACATGATCAAATAACACTTGAATTCATTATCCAAGAAGTCAAATTTTGTGAATTTGAGGAACTTGTGGTAATAATCATGTTACTTTTTAAATTTGGTGAGTTTATTGAGCAAGAGATGACTTGTTTGATGGAATTATTTGAATTGAATTGTGGAATAAGGGACATCAAAGCTTGATATCGTTGATGTGAAAGACAAAAATCTTGGTTTCCAGGATCGGAGGAATGACCAACTTCATTCTTGTTATTTTTGGCTTTAACATAGTTCACGACATTGTTATTACCATTGGACAATTTGTGACCAAGAGAAAATTCATGTTTCTTATATCACATGCCAACAAAATGGTTGAACTTTCCATAATGTGAGAAAGCCTTTTTAGGATTCTTATAATTCTTATTGTCATGATTTTGTAGAAAATCATGTTTATCGTAACATACGCTCTCGGTGTGCCCATATTTTCCACAATGAGTGTAAGAACTAGTCGAGCACATAACAATGTTGATTTTAGGTTCCATTTTAGCAATGAGGTTGTTCCTTGAATCTGTCTTTCCTGTTGAGAAATATAAGAAAATATTTTATTGATGTGGAGAATGGAATCCATGAGAAACATACGAGACTTTATCTTATTGTATTGGTAATTTAATCCTCCGAGAAACTACATGAAATAGTCTTTATCCTTCCCTTGACGAATAGTAGAAAGAACAATACAAGAACATTTTGCAAGACAAGTACAAATCGAATCAAGTAAAAAATTGTCTAATTCATCCCAAATTATGTGAAGCTTTGTAAAAAAATTTGTAACAATTACCCTACCTTAGTAATGAAGCTTTGGTTTTTGGTCATCAATTATTAAAAGGTCGCCTCAAAAGTATCTCGATTTCAAGTCGTTCCAAATATCTTCGGCCTTTACCATCCATAAAATGTTTTTTCAATTAGAGTAAAAAATGGAGTGAATGATTCATAAGTGTACCATGTTGCAACATTTTCAAGAATGGTAGGAAAAATCATTCTTGTCAAGTTCTTTAGTAATATCATTAATGAATTCGGTACTTAAGGCATTAATTATAAATTGGCTCCAAGAATGGTAATTGGTTTGATCAACAGGGGAACACAAGAGTAGCGGCAAGATTCTCACTGGGATTTAAATAAAGAAAGCTATGGATGGAGATATTATGTCTAACTTCTTAGGACATGATAAAAAAACAAGATGACGAAGGAAAAGGAAGAATCGAGTTTATAATTGAATTCATCAATGTTAAAAATTAAGGATATTATTAAAAATTATAAATGTTAAAATCCTAATTTTTTTTTAACTAAACAAAAATTATACAAAGAATATATATATATATATATATATATATATATATATATATATATTCTTAAATTAGGATTTTTTTTTCTTTTATTAGGATGAAGCTTGAATTAATCAACAAGTTATTGTAATTTCCATACTCACTTAACATATCATATTTTTACCAAACTACTTAAAATTAGATAATTCATGTATTTTTTTTATCTCGTTTTCATTATTATAGTTTTCTTTTATGAATGTATTTTTTTCTCTTTTCAAATATTTTTTCACAAGTTATCCAAAACAACAAATTATTTAAATTTTTAAAAAATTTATACTTCAAAAATAATTTAAAATATATTGAAAGATTTATTTTGAATAATAATATAATTTGATCTAAATCTAAACAAAATATACATTTTATTTTTAAATTATTTTAATCTAAGATAAATATTTAAAAATTATAAATAATATCAACGTCAATTTAATTATATATTGATTGGTAAAAAATAGTCAATAATGTGAATGTCGACCTATTAATGTATTAAATATAAAAAATTAAAAATTATTTATTTATTAAAAATATTAAATTATATAATATTCATCATAAAATATAATATTCATCATAAAAAAATATTATTTAATGAACTAAATAAAATTATTTTTAATTTTTAAATATTTATCTTATTTTAAAATATATAAAATAATTAATTTTATTTAAATGTATATATATTATTTAGATATAAATTATATTATATTATTATTAAAAGAATTCATGAATATATTTAAATTATTTTAAATATAATTTTAATAAAATATTTGTAAGTTATTTGTGAAAAAATAATTTGAAAATTTGAAATAAATAAATAAATATAAATGTACGTAACTAGATGTATTATGCAAGTCTTTCTCGTAGTTGCGTGTGATCAGACAACACACACAAAGATTAACTTGTGTTGTCTCGTGACTAGTCTCCATCTCATCACATCATGACTCAGCATTCCACATAATCATAGAAAACACAAAACGCAACACAACACAACACATTGTCATACGACACTCCGTTTCGTCGTTTCCATCATTCATTCATTCTTCCTCTTCGTTCTTTCATTCACTCACACATAACCTCTGTCACCCACCACTGAACAAGCAGCAAAAATTTAGCATGCTGCCAAAGCATAAGCCTTTTTTTGTTCCCTCATCCTCATTAATTGGATTAAGATAACTACGCCCCTTCAAAACAGGAGATTCTTTATCATCCACACACACGGTCCAACAAAACTGGGACTGAAATACGGAAGGAAGTGAGGAGTTTTTGCTCTTCTCTCAGACCCTTTGATCTTTATTTTCTCCTCTGGCTGGACAAGAAATTGGGAAGAAAGATGGAAATGATGGCATACCAGTTTTCCCGGTTACCTTACTCGGATTCCCTCAAACTGCTGGAGGCTGATATACAACATGCAAATGCTTTGTTAGTTTCACTTCTCTTTCACTCTTCTCTTTCTTCCCATTTTAACATCTTATCTATCGCTTTCGTTCTTCTAATTATGTATGGTTTTTTTATTTTATGAAACTAAAGAATAACAGAAAAATGGGGTTGTGCATAAAGAACAAGTTTTGACTTGATTATATACTTTAGGACTTGAAATGGGGGGGGGGGGGGTCATATTCATTTGATAAGCATCTGTCTCTTACTGATTGGGGTTGATCATCTTCAATTGTTATCTGTGGGAAAAAAATTGTGCTTTTTGATTGAATTTGTGTCTCAAACTGGTATTTTTTATTAATTTGATTGTGCTTTTCCTTGTGTGTGGGAGTGGGTGTGTTTTTCTTTTTTTACTTTAGTGTTGTGCACCCTCTGAAATTCAGTACTGGATCTGTCCTCTCTAGGGCTGCTGAAATTCCCAGAGCCAAGGGGGGACTCTTCTCCAAATGAAGTTGGCTTACAACCGATGGACTCCTCTCTTTCTATTGTTGCTACAGTGGATGGATTTTTCTTGTACATGCTTTCTACACAGATATCTTGACCTCTTCCACATAATTATATACAAGGTAAACTCCTATTTTTTAAGGTTAAACTATTTATGCGCTTGGTCTCTATAGTTGTCTCTATTTAAAGTTTTAGTTATCTTACTAAAAATTGTAAATTCTAATCCCTAAACATACACTGAAGTTCAATTTTGGTCTCTGGTGCAAATACCAGAGAAGAGTTTCTAGTAGTTTATACTGTAAAACCGCTATAAAACCTTCTGATGGTGATAAAGCGCAACTAAAATTTACTATTTTTTACGGAGACTATAGAACTAAAAAAGGGACAACTATAGAGCCCAAGTGAATCCATTAACTTTATTTTATAAGCTTTTGATTGCACAAATTTTGTTCTGTTTTGGTGTAGGATTCCAATGTTTATAAATGACCCTTGTTTTTCTTTCGTTATTGTTGTTTCTCTCCTATTTTTCACCCAAGGTACACAATGATGGTAGATCAAGTATGACTTCTCATGGAAGGAAAGCAACCATCAAGGACTTTTATGGTGCGTGAATCTTTGACTTTCAAAAAACACCTTTTTTTAGTTCTTTAGGCCTCACCAAAAAGATGCTCATGTTTGTGATTGACTTTACTAACTATTTCTCACTGTTTTTTGGGGTAAAAAAATGAACTTTAGCTATTATTCTGCCCTCTCTTCAAAGGCTTCATGGTAGCATGGAGAAGTTGGACATTTGTAAGAAAGGACATTCTAGCATAGATGGCTCAAGTCATGGCAAGAAAATGATTGAAGGAGATGCAAAACCAATCAATGTCGATTTGGAAAGAGAAGATGAATGTGGGATATGCTTAGAGCCGTGCACCAAAATGGTTTTGCCTAATTGCTGTCATGCCATGTGTATCAAATGCTACCGCAAATGGTATGTATTCACATCAAATATGCACATTAGCCACCCTACTGAATGCTCAAATTGGTTTGTCATCAATTGCAACACCCTTATGTTGTTCTTTCCAACCTCCAGGAACAAACTGTCAGAGTCTTGCCCTTTTTGCCGTGGTAGCTTAAGGAGAGTTAACTCTGAGGATCTATGGGTGCTCACTTGCAATGAAGATGTTGTTGATGCTGAAACAGTTTCCAAGGAGGACTTTCTACGTTTCAACCTTTATATCAACAACCTACCTAAAGATCACCCGGATGCGCTTTTCATAATGTATTATGAATATCTCATTTGATACATATATATATATATATATATATATATATATATTGTTGTACATGTAGGGAAATCAGGACTGCAATTGTGAATAGAGTCTGTAAGAAACATTTCTGACCATGTAAACCACAGCTTTGCTAAGCTAAATTTGTGGAATTCTAGTCCAGAATAACCACTCTTGCCTTCTGATGCATCTCCACGGTGGAGTTCCAGCAACTTAATGGGAAAGAGTTTTGCTATTTTTAGACCAAAATGTGTATCATATAGCTTGTTAACGATAGTACAATTCTCTGTTAACATCGTGTATATGTTTGATTGTGTTAATTAATAATTGAGTCTTTATTCCTGGATGTAAAATAATAACATGCACCATTTGGTGTGCAAGTTATATTTCTGAAAATGCTACGAGTGTGGATATTGTAAGAAAGAAAAATGATGACGAATATGTATGATGGTATTCCCACATGATCTAGCACGAGTTCAAGGAGTAATTTAATTTATTTTATAGACTGATTCATAAGCTTATCGTTTTCAATGTGTAAAATATTTGTATAGTATCACGGGTTGTGTTCTTAGTTTGTCTTTTTTGGAGCAAATACTGGCAATGAATCTGGACTTGTATATATTCAAACAAATTGCTATTTTTAAACACTAGTTATTAACTCAAGCCTTTCACGGGTAAATTTATAATCTTTACAATTTAACTTGAACCTTGTGTAAAATATATTATTATATATAATGAATAACTTGTTCTTTGAGTTCTTTAGATATTTAGTAGAGAGGTGCTTAACTCTTGCCATGGATGAAGCAACACCAAGGAAAAGTCCACTAGCAAATAAACTAGTAAAACGTGTGTCATAGAAATTTTTTAAGAAGTTTTCATTTCTCGCAAATTTACGCATGCAAGACCAATGTAAATAAAATTTAAAAATTAATAAATTATACAATTTTTTTTCATAGTCATCTTATTTGTCCATTTACTAAGCACAAAAACTTAGAAATAATTCCTAAAAGAATTTCTCCAAATTTTTTTTTACTGATTTATAAGTAAAGATATTATCAATTTTACAATATACAAAATAATGATTATTAATTGATATTTAATAAACGATTTCATATTATCTAAATATAATAAATAAATAAAATTTCAACATTTTTATCTATGGTTTAGTTATGTTTTTATTTTCTGTAGGATTAATTAGTTTTGATTTTGATCCATATAAAACAATTTGTTGATTTATTACCCTGTAAAATTTGAAGTAATTGTTTTTAGTCCTTATTGTTCAAATTTTGATTTGTGCTCTTCATAAAATATTTTTCTTTGATTTTCATCTTTCTAAATCCTATTAAAATTTAAAATAAATACTTTTTGTTTCTAATATCATTTTAAGATAAATACATCTATTTTATAAATGTAAAGAGATTGGGGTATAGAGATGGCAAAAGCGGGTCGAGTTCACTCCATCTTTGGCCGAGTTAAAAATGAGATGGTGTGAGTGACCAGCTATAGTCATAACAAGTTGTAAACCTTGATCCGCTAGTCAAAGGACGGATTCAGGTTGACTAGCCATAATTTACAAAAATAATTTATTTTTTTAAAATCAAAATTTTCAATAAATTTAATAATAAGATTAGTATTTGTTTGTCAATAATTAAATATATATATATATATATATATAAAATTAACATCAAAACTTATAAAATTTATATTTTTTATATTGAAAAATTCAAATACCTATATTTTTTGTATTTGATAAAACTTCATATTATTCTCCCTTGAATAATTCTTACACCTTTAATTCAAGTCATAAAATAAGAATAATCAGTGCTTAGGATGAAGAAGGAGAAGACGATGAACAACAAGGAGAAAGGAGAGATGAACTTGTGTTTCAATAAGGAGAATGTTTCTTATAATGAGTAAGAGGGAAATTTTTTAATTCTCTTTTTATAATTTTTAACTTAATATATTATCTTTATGATTAATTGTATTATAATAAAAAAATATTTTTTTATTAATTAGGCGAGTCGCTGACTCGATCCAGTCTTGTCCCACGGGTTGGTCCGACGGGTTGACGGGTTTAGTGGGATGGGTCGAGGCGGGTTGACGGATTGAAAATATTAATCTGCCTCGTCATATTATAGCGGATCTGTCGGGCTAGCCCACTTGACCCGATCCTTTTGTCATCCTTGAAATATAATAACTAAATTTATACCTCAATATGAATCACTTGGAATAATCCCTTCACCTTTTGTTCAATAAGTAATGGTTAATTAATGTGATATAATATTAGAGATAAGAAAAAGTAACTTTCGTTGTAAAGACTACAAATAGAGAATTTATTTTTATTGCAATCAAAACAAAACTCACTTTTTGTTACAGAGATTAAAAATATGTTTAAACCTTTATTTATTTAAAGACAAAAATTAGGAAGAGAAAAAACTATCAATGATGATGCTTGAAGATGACGATGGTTACTCATGTTTTCTTCTTCTATGCTACTACATTCTCCATTCTAATTTTTTTTTCTAATAATTTTTCTTTTAGTTCTTAGCTATAGGTTTAAATTCTTCATGTGGTCACTGAATTTCAATGATGGAAAGAAGACAGCGCCAACCAACCAAGTTATATTTACCAAAATTAATGGCATCACAAATCAGTTTCCAAATCTCATTGTTTGAATTTTACCATAACTACTTCTTTGATTAATTGATATTTATGTTCATACTGCAAAGTTTTGGAAGTCATGCTAATAAAGCTTATATCATAATTTAATGCTTGTTTACTCCTCAAATTATCATCCAAACACATAATAGTGTTTTATCATGTACCAGTCTCTTTTTTATAGTTGATTCTCACGTCACGGGATAGGTATGAATAATAGTTAATTGTTATCTGTCCCATGAAATAATTCATTTTTGTTGTTGAATATCCATTTAAAAAAAATACAAATATTTTTTAAATCTATGAGTATTTATAGATATATGTGAGTTTTTTAATATTTTAAATAAAATTCAAATATAATTATAACTTCAAATATAAATTAAAATAATATAATACATTCAAAATTTATATATAAATAAAAATTAAAATGAGTCCACGTTACTAATAGTTAAAACATAAATCTAAATAAAATTAATTTAACAAACACTTTTAATAAAAATCACATTGTGGGATTGGTGTTTTTCTCATCAATAATTTCACTTGAACCACTTAATTCCTAAAAACAAGTAACATATAAATAAATTGATATAATGATATTATTGGTAAAATTAGAATGAATATGAAAAACAATACTAACTTGATCATCAATTATTTTGAAAAAATAAAATAATTCATTAATTGTAATAATTAATTTGAATGAATATAACTATGTATTTTAAAGAGTTAATTTAATTCCTTTTTAAATTAGGTCATAGTCAATCTTGGATACATATCAATGCCTTAAAAAATGTTTGAATGTAATGTGGAGTAAGAAACTGATCTCTAGTACTAAACGAAGATTGAGAATTATGAAGATAAAAATTGTTATTAAATCCCTTGCAAATTTGTAAGATTGAATATTTTAATCATTAGTCTTCCACTAAACTAAGATGTCAAATTCTCCATCTAAATCAGGTAATGTTGGTTCTTCCAAAAACTACTATAGCAAAAACCGTTTAATGACAGCTTAAAAATGACTTACCACACCAGATTGCGAACTCATCGTTCTATACAAGAGATACGACGACGGGTTAAGATCATTGTTGTATGTCAAGATACGATGACTGAGTTATTTATAAATAATCATCATCGTATCTTGACATACAATGACAAGTTTGGTCACACACATCGTTGAATCCTTGTGTCAAGCATGATTATGATGACGGTTATGGTATTAACCGTCATCGTATCTTTGTATTTTTTTAATAAACAATTTTTTTATGACTTTATCCCATTACCTACATATTTAATCAGTCAAGTATTGTACAATGTAGATTTTTAACATATTTACCGTACATAAGCAATTATAAATATGTACAATAGTTAATATCTAATATTAGTTTTACTAGAATTCTACAAAGTTATTATAAACGTATAGGAATAATTAATCAACTATCCTAATGTTCAACTAAAAAGTCATGATCATATACATAATGTTGTTTTAATAAAAAATTAACTATCCCGATGTGTTAATCAAGTTGATGAAGTATGTTGCCCATGTTCGTCTAATATATTTTATGACATTTGTATTCATGGTAGATGTGTCCATTAAAAATTGTAATATTTTAAATAAGTTTTCATAAGTACAATAATAACTAATGTTTTGGTGTATAATAACTCATGTTCTTTAAAGAAATATTTATCTTACTTGATCCAAACTTTTTTCTATTCCTAGTTGGACAATGATTATCATCCATTACATTACATAATAACCATACTCATATATTTCAGTTTATCTATTACACTATTACTCAAAATATAGAAATTAAATTAGTTTGTTAATAAAAAAAATATTTGTGATTATACCTTTAGATGTAACTAAGTGAACTTTTGTGGTATTCCACTTGATCTAGTGCTCATTATGTTATATCCAAAAAAATCATTAAAACATATATACTAAGTTAAAACATAAAAACATAACTATAATATAAATATCTATAAAAATAACCAAATTTTGTTACCAATCTACTATTTGTTTAAGGTATATAGGTGATTTTCCGTGCAACAAACAAAATCATGCAATTGTATTGTTAATCATAAATATGACAAGCAATTGTCAATAATGATTATGCATTGAAACATATTAAAATTAGTTAAAAATTAGAATTAAGTAAAAATAAATTATAAAGAGAATGTACTTACATATAAACATATGATCCAAAATAAATCATTTTTATCAATAAGAGAGTATTTGTAATGTTTATTTGTGTCTCTACTTTCTTATTACTTGATGGTTGAATTATCGAGGATCTAAAAATTCATTAGCCTCATCTTTCTCTTCACTCACACATAACTGAGATATATACCTATAACGAGTG